GAGACGGAACAACAGGTTCCAATCTAATGTGATGAAGTGTCAGGATTCAAGAATGAAGGCAACAAACGAGATGCTTAACTACATGCGTGTGATCAAATTCCAGGCTTGGGAGGAGCACTTTAATAAGAGAATTCCGGCTTTCCGTAGTCGGAGTTTAGCTGGCTGACCAAGTTCATGTACTCAATCTCTGTGGTTATGTGGTGCACCCCAGTACTTACATCAACTCTCACATTTGGCACTGTACTCTTATTGGGTGTCTGGCTTGATGCCGGGACATTGTTCACAACCACAAGCATCTTCAACAATTTGCGGGATCCCATCAGGACCTTCCCACAATCTATGATTTCAATTTCTCAAGCTATGATATCTCTTGGGAGGTTGGACCGTTATATGATGAGTAGGGAATTGGTGGACGATGCGGTGGACAGAGACAAGGGCTGTGATAGTAGAACTGCTGTGGAGGTTAAAAATGGCGCGTTTAGCTGGGATGATGAAAGCAAAGAAGAGGATTTGAAGCACATAAATTTGAATGTCAATAAAGGGGAGCTAACGGCTATTGTAGGAACAGTGGGATCTGGAAAGTCTTCCCTTCTAGCCTCAATTCTTGGTGAGATGCACAAGTTATCCGGAAAGGTATGATTTGATACCATTAAACCCTTTTCTAGATGTCTCTTATGACATAAAATCCCTCCACTGAACCATAAGTTTATAACCAGGTCATAACTCACTCAAAAAGCTTCAGTTTAATCAAGTACTTGTTGAATGAATAAACTTTTTGAATAACAGGTACGAGTTTGTTGAACAACTGCCCATGTTGCTCAAACATCATGGATTCAAAATGGGACTACTGAAGAAAATATATTATTTGGTTTGCCAATGGACAGAGATAGATACCAGGAAGTTATATCAGGGTTTGCTGCTTGGAGAAGGACTTGGAAATGGAGTTTGGAGATCACACTGAGATAGGAGAGCATGGCATCAACCTAAGTGGTGGCCAGAAACAGAGGATACAACTTGCTAGGGCTGTATATCAAAATTGTGACATATATCTTCTCGATGACGTTTTCAGCGCTGTTGATGCTCATACTGGATCAGAAATATTTAAGGTGACATTGCGTTAGATTTTCTACTACATTTGATAGTAAATAAATGATTTACTTTTGATTCCACAGTGATTGAACATTCAAGCTTGTTCTTAATATAGTGGTTTGAACACTTTTTTACTTTCATAGTCTAAATGTGCTAAGATAATAAAAAAACAGTACAAAGTGACACTCATTGAATTTGATTTGTATGCATAATGTTCTACTGATCATGATTTATACTTCTCTGCAGGAATGTGTGAGGGGAGTGCTTAAAAACAAGACGGTTTTAGTTGTAACTCATCAAGTTGACTTCTTGCATAATGTTGATCTTATTTTGGTAAGATTATAATTGCAGTTTGCACACATTTATCCCTTGTACTTATATATTTATTTAAACTTATTACCTCCAAATAATATCAGGTCATGAGAGATGGGATGATAGTACAGGCTGGAAAGTCTAATGATTTGCTAAATTCTGGCCTGGATTTCAAACAGCTAGTAGCTGCCCATGAAACCTCAAATGAGCACCACTATTCCCAGCAAAAGTTCCCCCAGTCCTCAAATATCTCCACAACTCTCTTCGAACCACCGGGAAGCCAATGGTGGAAACAACTCTTTGGACCAACCAAAGTCTGATAACAGGACTTCTAAACTCATCAAAGAAGAGGATAAAGAAACAGGCAAAGTGAGCTTGCACGTTTACAAAGTTTGTGAGTTAGAATTGCTCACCTTTTCTTTTTCTGTTTAAGCATTAGTTTTTTTCATAGTTGATGAGAGATCCTATTCTCTATTTAATCTAAATTGTATACGTTGTCTTCTTTGCTAACTGATGAAAATTTATCACCCACCAGGCATCAACTGATCAGATGAATATCTATCAATTTCTTCCCTTCATTTTGGCTATGACCATTGCCATGTACATCACTGTGCTTGCCATCTTTATCGTTGTATGCCAAAATTTGTGGCCAACAGTATTCTTGCTGATTCCACTTATTTGGCTTAATATCTGGTACTGGGTATGTCATTCTTTTTATCATGTTGTTGATATTTATCAGTGTAAGATCTATAATGTTGCAATGTATGTGTTCTTCTTGTTTAACAAATGCGTGTTAGACAGGAAAATAAAATATCTAGTTCTATGATCTTTGTCATTAATACTGTTGGCCAATCCAACTCTTGTTAGACAGATAATATAAATGTTTTGAACTGAAGCACCCCTATGCAGATATATGAATGTGCTACACTGGAAAAGTAAAATCTCTTGTTTTATGAATGTGGCCTTAGTTATATGCTGAGATTTTTCTACTGTTTGGATTTTAGGGTTACTATCTTGCATCATCTCCTGAATTAACTCGACTCGATTCGATCACAAAAGCTCCTGTTATCCATCACTTCTCAGGGAGCATATCCGGAGTTATGACAATCCACTCTTGCAGAATGCAGAGCATGTTCTCCAAGGAAAATGTTAAACGGGTTAACGCCAATTCACGTATGGATTTCCACAACAATGGGTCCAATGAGTGGTTTGGTTTCCGTATGGAGATGCTTGGGAGTTTAGTTTTCTGCATTTCCACTGTATTCATGTTCTTGTTGCCAAGCAGTATAATTAAGCCAGGTACATCCTTCTTCTTTTGGTGCGACACTTAACAAGAGGTCATATCTAGCACTTGATTCATGGCCAATTATGATATGGGATGCCTAAGTATATAATACTTAGCGTATCTGATATAAATTAGCATCTTATTTTGGCACATCTGAAAGAACGTGTCTGCATATCATGGTCCTCTTTTTGGATAATGAACATGAAGTAATTTCAAGAAGTATAGATAATAGCAAACATGGAAGATGAAAGAAGATAGATTGCATACACTTTAACTGGGGGACGCCTTTTCACTTGTATACAGGCCTCAACATTGTCTTGCTTTATGTGTATCAGCTACCTGTGGAGTTTCCAGATATGTTACAATGGATAGCTGATTTCATTGGTGTGTGCAAGATTACATTCGGATTGGACTGAAGTTTGTTCGAGCTTCTGTCTTCTACTTTTCTACATCATGGTACTTCTATCTTTTATGACATCTACAAATCCAACACAGTTTATGCAGGATACTTGAAAACCAGTGACTTCAGCTTCTCTACAGTGTAGGGTCTGCAAGTTGATCATGTAATAATTCATTCCTGGATGGTATGGTTATATTATCCAAGCAAATTGATCAGTTAAGAACCATGCAGATTTGGATTATGTGCAACAGAGAATCT